CAGGCAACCTCCCCCCCTCCCTAGGCGTCCAATGCAAACCCCTCCCGGAGCTGCAGAGGCGCAGAGCGGCCCCCACCTCCTCGCCTCGCCTGGGAAGAGCTGATCCCAGAGGGGCCAGGGGCTGCAGAGCACTCCGGCCTCCCCCCGCTCTTTCATTGCAATTCTCACCCCCACCTCCCCCCCCCGTACTAGGATCAACTCTCAGCCTGTCTAAAACAGCGAGGCGCCGGCACGGTGGGGGAGGGAAGGGGCACAGGGGGAATTTCTTCCAGTGCAAAAATGCCCTCCTCTCGGGAGCGTTTGGGAGAAACGGTACCCGCGGGCTGGGGGCTGCGGGCAATTGCACAACCCCAAGCTCCTGCCTCCATGTTGGGGAAACTGCCGCCCCGCTGAGCCCCGCGGCTTCCCACGGCACCCAGCACACCCCAGGCTCCCGCTGCCAAATGCCCTCCTCTCGGGAGCGTTTGGGAGAAACGGTACCCGCGGGCTGGGGGCTGCGGGCAATTGCACAACCCCAAGCTCCTGCCTCCATGTTGGGGAAACTGCCGCCCCGCTGAGCCCCGCGGCTTCCCACGGCACCCAGCACACCCCAGGCTCCCGCTGCCCCGGAGCCAGCCTTCCCCAGGCCCGAAGTTCAACACTTCAAAATGCACCGCTGTAAATCCACTGGCAGGGGTTGCTTGGACTGTCCTAGTGCTGAATCCTCCGTGTGTGCTCAAGGTCTCTCTGTGAAGGGCTTCTATTTCAACATCATCATCATCATTACTCATTTTCAGCAGAAATTTGCTCTCTGTCTTTGAGAATTTTTCTCTGCTTTTGAAGAAATACTCTCCCCCCCCCATACCCACACACACTCTCTAAGCAGAGTCCTTTGTTTTGGTAAAGACAACACTTTTTAAAGTGTTCAAGGACACTTCTTTGCATTTTTAACATTAAGCCTCATTAAGAATCCTTAGGTGACCTATTCACGAACCAACATCGTCACTTAAACTGTTCCGTGGAAAACACTGAACTTAGTGCATCCGAGGGCGTCACAAACTACAGAGCCTTCCAAGAGCACCAACCCAGCACTTGAATTAAAGAGTGGTGGAACTGAAAAAGCATTCTGGGTACTGATGTGCAAATGAGCACACCAAGCTTCCCACTTCCAAAATGCAGTATTACATTAACACTTAAGGCTACACAGTGCCCACAGCCTGTACACCGGATTTCTCCTGCTTTTGACAGAAACTGTCTACACTGCAGGCTGAATATTAGCAGGAGCTTTTTACTACTGCATCATGTATGCACACACCCTGCTATGAACTTTTATTTTTAGAAATTTGAGGTTGTTCGAGCGGTAGCAATGCTGACAAACCCAGCTCAAATACACTGTACTATATAGATAATACAGTGCTCACATTCTATGAGTCTGTGTGCTGCAGACTCAAGAGTTGTACTTGCTACAGTGAGGGAAATGATTGTATTTAAACACACCAGCCAGGCTGCATGCACACACACACGCAGAGCAGTTAAAGAATCTGGAATTTGCTTATCTTTCCTAGTGGCTTTGGTCAGTTGTGCGCCTTTTCCCCCAGTGGTTTATTAATTTGCTTTCTTTTAGTCCCCAGCCTCCTGACATGGTTCCTGCTTCCTATTTCAGTTCCCTCCTTCCCTGTTCTTTGTCTCTCCTCTAGGCAGGGGGAGGGGGGGGGTCCTGCCGCTCTCACTGCACTTTCCTCAGAACTTTCTCCAGTTGCCATGGAATGTTCTGGTTTCAGCTTCCAGCCCTCCTGTTTAAAAGGCACCATCCAAATCGCCCTGCCTGCTTCTTTAGGTAAAAGCTAAGTATTCACCCCAAAGCATGGCTGTTTCTTGGCAAGTGACCCATTCACACTTGCCATGAGGCAAGATCAGCAGGCTGAGAGCTCATATTCTGGGTTTGTTGCTGGATATTTGTTAAAGATGACCACCAGCACATTGCACTCCCACGAAAATCACAAGGAGAGCAACACAGATGTTCACCTCAGCTTCTCAGTGCTCTGACATGGTACTGGCTGAATCTCTCCCTTTAGGACTTCCACTCAGATTATACTGGCCTCTCTCACCTTATGACTTCAGCAAGATGCCTGGAGTACCACTTCTTGTAGCTTTTTCTGGTCCCAAACTTATCCAGTCTCAGAATATTAGACTATCAAAGTAGTCATTCAAGTCGCATTTGTTACAATGTAGCCAAATTTCTTCTATTTGCAAATAAGCAGTTTGTGCCATACTAAGACAGAACTTGGCTCATCATTATGAACAGATTTGCAATAGGAAGTTCCCTAAATTTAATATGATGACTGAATGTCATTTCCCCATACTTGCCTAGATAAGTGTACAGGTATGATTACCTTTGAACTCATTTATCATCACAACTAGCTAGTTACTGTCTTGAAGACAGAGGTTCAGATTATGTGAAAGAGAATTTTAAACTTGAATTTAAAAATTAACATTTTCAGTATGCAGATTTTCCTCCCCTTCTCAGATGATTCCTAATCTATTTTCTCTGACATCTACTCTGAGAACTGCTGAATTTCTTTTCAATTCACCTCTCTTTTAAATAAAGGCATTTTCCTCAGCTACTTTATTCAGCTTTTCACCATTTCCTGTCTTGCTTCTGCTCATGGGAATTCCTAAGCTGTCCCAAAATGTTTTGCAGCTGTCTGGTCCCTGCTGAAGCAGTTCGATTGGTATTTCAATAGTATTAAAAATCCTCTTTTGCTCTGAACATATGTGTACCATTTGGGACTGTACATTGCCCCCTTCACCACAGATGAATTGCTACTGGCCTTACTCTGAAGTGCAGACCTTAAATTGGTTTGCAAATACAGGAGGTAACCCAAGACTGTGTTACAGTCAAATCTATTCAAATATATTGGAGTTACTTAGATTTGAGTCATATCTATTTGTTGAACATTCTCAACTCATGCATCTGTGTAGTTACTGAGGCTACTGAGATTTTTTTGAATAGTCTCCATTATAATGCTCTTTAAGCAGGTTAGTCACTATTTCACATGGATTATAATATTAGCAGAGACACTTCTGCATAGCACTTGTGCCAGCTAATTCAGTCGTAGGAACCATTTCCATTATGTGTTTCACAGAAATACACAACATTGCACATTTCATGGCACACTTGCATTTTCAGCAAGTAGCTGTCAGTTTCTCTGGGCTTGCACTGAAACTTTAATTAACTGTGACTGATCTAACAAGCAATTAGTTCAGCATTCATTACTTGTTAGGTTGATTACTTCTTAAATTTAGGTTTTTAAAGCTTTCTCAATTTTTTCTTGGGAATCATCCCATGAGAATGCTAACCCTAGAAGCAAGGATTTCAGACTTGGAGATAGCACAGTTTCCTTTGTGATCCAGATGTGGGTTAGTGATTTGTCAGCTTTCTCCTCTAGAAGCAGACAAACCACTCTGTTGTTTAAAGTTACTGAGCATTCTCACTAAAAACTACGGTAACTGCTAATAGTGAGGTGTATGATGCTATGAAAAGTATGCAGTTATTTCAAAAAGAGAAAACTGCACTGTTTGCTTTTCTTCTTTTTGATCAGTCTCCTCACTGCACTCATACACTGTGTAGTCCATCTGGTTCATGGCAGTCCACAACAGAATCTGGTTGAGCGGATACTAAACTACAGAACTTTTTGTTGTTAAACTAATTTAACCCAGTTTTGGAAGCCAACCTTTGATATTTACTCTCCCTTTTGTTCCACTCTGCCCAGTTTAACTTATTCTAGACTGCCTGAAACCAAAGCAACCTGAGCCATTCAAAACAAGATTGCCACATTA